TTGAGCTCTTTATTAATCCCCAGTAGAATGAAGAGTATTCCAAACAACCAGAAACCCCTGCATCCCCATGTTTGATGGAGTCTGCTCCCCTTGAGGGGTGATTCCAAGCAAAATCAGCGTCTCCTCCTCCTTAATCTTCTCCTGGGCTGTTCTGCCTTCAAGGGTGGCACAGGACCACCTGCTGTCTTACTGCCAGCAAAGGAAAATGAAGAGAAGGTAGAAACTTAATTGTTCAAATGTTTGGGTATCCAAATATGTGCTCAGATATCCAAACACAAATACAGGTTTGTCTATTATTAATTGTAAGGTCCCCTAACCTCTCTCCCAACGGACAGCAGGGGCGTATGGACCACCTCCTGAAGTTATTTTGATGTGAAAAAGTTTCAAAAGAGTATCTACCAATGCTAAAGAACTCAATCTTAGTTTTATAACACCAAATTGTTTTTAAGGGCAGGAGAAACATTTGAGAAAGGATGAGAAAAAACACAGAAAAAATCTTCCAAATTTCTAAAATGTTGTGGTTATAACACAATAGTTTGATCCCTGACAAGCTGCCTATAGTGGAAATTATTGACTGAAACAGCAGTGGGGTGGGTGCCTAGTATAGAATATGTATGGTAAATCATTTTGCAAATGGGAAAGGATGACTAATTGATCAATTTTGTAAAAAAGAATTTACATTATTTAGTTTCATATAAATAAGAGTTTTCTCTAGCATTTCATTATGAAAAATTTAAAACATACAAAAGAGATGGAAGGGATTTTACAGTGAACAGTATATACCCACCATCTACAATCTACCATTAACATTGTACTATGTGCATGGTTTATCACACATCTATTCATTCTTCTGTCTCCTTTATCAGTTTTTAATGTCAATCCATCTTACGTTTGATGCATTTCAAAATTCAGTGTTTGCAGTCAGCCCACTTTTAAAAAGTGGTTCTTGTAAACTCCATTGAATATATACTAATATGCTAATTTGAAAATACAGTATTATCATTTTCTCGCAAACACTGAAAAAATACCTTAAGGATTCTACATCCCTACAAATAAGGAACCTGAAGCAAAAGGTTGTTTTGCTAAAGGCCAAAATACCGCTTTGAGCCATTTAAGAACTAAGCAGTGCCAATACTGACTGGGTGGGCGATAGATGAAATGGGAAGGTTGATATTCGGACACTGGTCTAAGAAAGGCGGTGCTTGTTTTAACAGGGCAGCTCCGTGTTGAACACGTTTGGTATGGGAAGGGATTAGCAACTTTCCCACCTATTTAGAAAGAAAGGGGGAAGAACCCAGGATAAAACGGGGTGGGGGCGGATGGGAGAGGGGTCCAACAGAGCCGGCAGAAAAAAGGAATGTTAAGTCAAAAAGGGGTATCTGTGGTCAGTTCTCGCGGTTTAACTGAGTCATAAAGGACAACAAGCCGAGGAGCCTGTGACAGTGACATTCACAATGCACCCCACCCCCCAATCCCAATCTTACACCAAAGGTAAGTGGAACAGTGTGGTGGAACAGCCAGGGACTGAAGCATATCTCGCACACACGCGCACATCCCTTGACAGGGGGACCTGTGTATCGGGGGTAGGTGACCTGGGATTTGGGGGAGGCTTCAGAGACAGGAGGCAGCGCTGCAGGCCAGTGGGGAACAGGAGAATCCCGGCATCGTGGGTCTCGCAGCAACATCCTCCACCCACCCCCGCCGCCAGCGCACCCGCGCGCGCCACCCGTCGCCCTCCCGACTCGGTCGCCCCCTTTCACTTTCGCGTCTGCGTAGGTGTTTGCCCGGGCGGGCGCGAGGGCGCGCGGGGCGGCGCGGGGGCGCGCGGCGCTCAGCTAGCGGAGCGGGGGGAGGGGGCCTGGCGCGCGGCCCCTTCCTCCGCTAGCTCCGCGGACCCGCTGCCCGCCGCGTCTCAGCCGCTGTCAGAGCCAGGGGACCAGTGGCTGCCGCCGCTGCTCAGCCCTCCCCCCACCAGCGCCCCCGCGCGCAGACACACCGCCCTCCTCGGCGCCCCCCCCCCCACGGTGGGGGTGGGGCAGAGGCGCGGCGAGCCCCAGAGAGTGAGGAGAGCAGCAGCCTCCCCGGGTGGGCACCGAGGGAGCAGGAAAAGAAACTTTTCCCTCCCGCCCCCAGCTCCTAGTCCGGAGTCTGCTCCGTCCCCCGCAGGTGGGAACTGCACCTGGGGCCGGGGCGCTAGGTCTGGGCCGGACTTTGGGGGGTCCTTGGTGGGGGGTGGCAGGCTACGTGCATTGGGGTTCCTTTTTCTCTCTGCCTCCTCACTGCCAATAGCTGGGGTGGGAGGGTGCCACTGGCGCCCCCAGCCCGTTTCCCACCAGCCGGTGGCTGGACGCTTTGCTACCTCCTCCGGCTGGTGAGGGTGTGACCCGGAGAGGGGGCAGCGGCGCCGAGGGTTCCCCCTGCGGCCTCTCCCCCGCTACACACACACACTCTCTCTCTCACTCACTCTCTCTCCCTCTCTCCCTTTCTCTCTCCGACGTCCGACCTGTCACTGGCCACCCCAGGCCCGGAGAGGGGGCACAGAGAGCCGTTCCGCGGGGCAGCTGACGCGGGATCACCCCGTGGAATTTCCCGGCTCCCAGAGCCACCGCGGTCACCACCCGGGAGACCAGCAGAGCCCAAAAGGGGCCCGCCTAAGGCCAGCCGCTGCATCTGGGGGCGAGCGGGAGCCCGCGTACCCCTCTGCGCGATTCGGCTCCGGCGCCTCGCCTGCTCCTACGGGGTAACAACACTACTGCTCTCTTGCTCTACCCACCGTCAGAAGGGCGACCGCCGGGATTACATCCTCTCCATCCTTACCGCCGATCTGCTAATACTGGACTTGCTGGTGGCGGCGGCGGCGGCGGCGGCGGGAGTCTAGCGGCACCCCCCTCCGCCACCCTGCGCCCCAGCCTCCCCACCATGTCCTAGAAAAGGTGAGCGCAGCGAGTCACTGCACTGACAGCGGTGGGAGGGGAACTGGGGAGCTCAGGGGCGGCCCAGGTGAAGGCAGGGTCAGCGCAGAGGTGGGCTGCGGGCAAGAGACTAGATGCCCGCCGGGCCGCTCTGGGCAGGGGTGCTGGGCGGCGGGCAGGCGAGGGATCACAGCGGCTGTCCCTTCACGGTTCTAACCTAGATTTTGCAAGAAGCTGTGATCCAGGGCAAGACCGGCTCTCCCTAAAGGAGGTAAAAACTTAGTAAAACAGACACGTCCCTTCCTTTAATAATGAATAATTTGGCAGCGCAGGCTGAGCTGCCGCCTCCTCGCGTGCCCGGGCGCTGGGTCCCGGACTTCGCTAGCTCCTGCCTGCCGCCCGCGCTCCACCCCAGTGCGATCGATGCCCGACTGCTCCGCGGGCCTGGCGAGCGCGCGTGACGGCGGGCCCCGCGGGAAAGTTGGGACACTTGGCTGGGACTCCCGGCTGCGGAGGCACCGGGGGCCGTTCCACGCAGGGGAATGCTGAACACCTGAGTCGGGGTACGGACCAGCTCTCCGGCGCCGCCGCTGTCGCCTCCGCTTCCAGGGAGTTCCCTACCTGGAACGGCTGGAAGTTTTAATCTTCTTGCTCTCGGGGTCGGAAATCCCAAAGCTTAATTAACTGTAAGACGAGGAGAGGCCTTTGGGCACAGGGTGAACGCCTCCCCCACGACTTACGCGGGCGCGGGGCAAGGGTGAGGCGGAAGGCTGCGCAGCTGCTGGCGCCGGGCTGCGGGTCGCCGAGGGCCAGGGGACCAGATTTAGGTGTGTACGTCACTGGTGCCGACTTCGGGCCAGCCGGGAGCCTAAAACTGAGCGTACGCAGACCCTCAAAGTCCTTAGAAGTCAAAGTTAAGAAGCCCAGCATTTGGGTGGGCGGGAGAAGAATCGAGGCGGGGGAGGGGGGCGGTTGGAGGGAAACGGAAATTTCTTCTTGCAGATGCTGGATCCTTAGAAAACAGTTCGGTTCCTTCCTCCCCTTCTGTGTGTTTCTCCCAGGTACATGCACCCCTCCCACCCATTATAAAGAAGTGAATATCCTCGATGGTAGGGTTGTTTTTTTTTTTCCAAATTGAACTAGTGGAAAAATCCAACACTAAAGTAGTAAATACACCACCAAAATTACAAGGAGAGCAGTAATTCTTGACCCTGGCACTTTGTTTTTGTTGTTGTTGGGCGTTGCGGGGGTGGGTGGGTGAGGCTGTGTTGGAAGGGGGTCGCCCACACTGAAATCGCCCGCTTTTCCTGCACGGTTAAAACGAGGGAGCTCAAATCGAGTGGGAACGTGATCCTTTTGCATGCTGGCAGCGGACTCTGAGGCTGCTCTTCTAAGAGATAACTTGGGAGACCCAGGAAAGGGGCGTGGAGAGGACCTCGGGGGTCGCGTGAAGCCCCGCGTGAGTCCTCCGCGCGCTTGGATGCTGTGGGCGGAGCCTGAGCCGGGGCTGTCCTTCACCTGGCGCCGCAGGTGGAGAGCGTGAGGGGACAACACCTTAACTGGTTCTGGGAAAAACCGACTTTACGGCGTCACCACACTTTGCATGTCTTTCCAGATATCCTGGGGTCGGCAGGAGGGGAGCCAGATGGGTGCGAGCAAGCTGAGAACGGCTGAACGAAGGGGGTGGGGGTCAGAGTGCGGAGGGTGCCTCCTACCTAGTGTCATAGCCGCTGCCCGGCACCCAAAACGCCCGCCGCTGCTGCGGCTTTAAGGGAGCTGCCGAGTCCAGGCTGTGTCGCAGCAACTTTGTATCAGTCATGTCGCCCTCCTGGTGACTGACAGCCGCGATTGCCCAATGAGAAGCCAGGCAGACCCGTGCAGCGTGGAGCCTTGCTTCCCCTTGGGCCAATAGTAAGGGCTTGGGGCGGGATAGCAACCTGAACTTTATCTGGACATGTGACCCGCTTTTAAAAGGACCGGCCCCGGAGCTGGCCCACTCCCCCTCCGGGCTTTCGCCCCCCCTCTTATCCCTCTCTCCCTCCCTATTTCGCCCCGCCCTAGCCCTGCCCCTACCCCTGGCCCAGCCCGGTCCTCCCCGCCCCTCCGCGCCCGGGGTGTCATTGGACGGGGGAGAAGCGAGCCAACTTCTGGCTGCTTGGAGGAAGCCGGTGCAGTCACCTGGGTGCGAGAGCCTTGCTGCCTCGGGCTCTCCCGCTGCAGGGGGAGCGGCACTCGCTGGCCTGGATGTGGTTGGATTTAGGGGGGCTCCGCAGCAGGAGTGTCGTTGCGTTGGCGAGTGCTGCAACAGGTAGACGCGGAGACGGACCCCGGCCGAGGCAGGTGTGTGGGGGTGCGCAGCGGGGCGCCGCTTGCCGGCCTGGGCGTGCGGCCGCAGCGCGGGAGCGTGCACTTTGCTTGGAGAAGTGGCTGCGTAATTCGGAGGCACAGGCAGTATGGTGCTGTGAGCTTGTTGTTTTGTTTTGGTTTTCCACTTTTTCCCCCCTTTGGCCGCCAGAGGACTATTTTGGGAAAGTTTGGCCACTTTGGATAAATGCCCTCTAACGAGCGGCTTTCAGCCGCTTTTGGCAGTGGGAGGTCTACCACCACCCTTCTCTTTTCCACAAGATGAATTTCGGGTAGTTTGCCTTGCCCAATATTTAAAGGAGGTTTGAATAATATTTCTTTATCATTTGCAGAAGCACTCAAATCTCAGCTGGAGGTGTAGCTTATTAAGGGCAATTGAAGGAGATAGAGCTCCTGATAGATCCTGCAGGAAAGGGGCTCTGGAAATCGTGCATTCCCGTTCCTTGGCATTTGGGAAACTCTTGCGAGAGACTGTGCTTTCTGTGGCATCAGTCGGAATTCTAACGGCAGGGGAGAAGGGATGAAGCTTCTTTTGGTGGCATCCGCACTCTTCCACTGAAGACAGGTGCATGGCTTTTCTATTGAATTTTTAAACACCAGGTTTAAATCATAATGATTTATGGCACCATCGGCTTTAACTTATTACAGAAAAGTTAGGAAAACTTTTATTTGCTAACAGACAAGTTTTGGAACCTGCTGAATTTCAAATGCACTAAATTGTCTTTTAACGTTTGTATTGCCATTTCTCTAGGTGCTGTTATTGATGATATTTACATAGTAATGGTAACAGCATTCTCCATCTGTGAGGTTCTGCGATGAAGTTTTTAATTTCATGTTTCACTTCATGGCACGCTATGATGGAAATGGTTGAGGAGAGTAGTTTTTTAAAATAGTCTAAAGGCGAGCTTTTTCCTTTAAGGGAGAAGAAATAGTTTTGTTTGGGGATTTTTGGAAAGATCAGGTGGCTCCGTGAATTAGGTGAGTGAATAGAAATCAGGTGTGCTCAGTTCTAACTGGTTCTCCTGCTCTCTTAGGTGACCTTGGGCAGGTTTCTATCATTTACCTCATCTATAAACGAAGGGAAGGTAATAATGGTTCTATAATGGGGATGACGGGAAAATAGTTACAACAAACAACTATGCAACCAGTGAAAATTGTAAAACTCATAAGATTTTGGTCTTTTGGATGCCATGGGATGGTGAAATACTATAGAAAACGATGCATTTAAAATAGAACCACGTTTGGGGGGTATTAAAAGTGAAAGTGTTTTCAGATAAAATACAAATTTGCAGAAGTGTTGGTTAATATCCCTAAAAAAAACACACATTACTTCCTATGGAAAAGGACAATTGAACACAGTATAAAACATAACATTTTAAAGTCAGATTTTGCCTTTGCAAAAATAGTGTTTAAGAACATATACATGACTTAAAGTAGAACTTCCGTCAGTGTGTTTGTGTGTGGGTAGTTTTCTTTTTTAACTTACATGAAATTTCCTTTATTTCATGTGGTGAGGCCATTTGTATGAAAATCAGAGGGTCCCAAGGTTTTTTGACTTTGTCCCAAGAAAGTCTCTATTATAATCCCCATGGTACAGGAGACAAGTTTGATTGTATATACCCTGGATTTGTATACAGTATCTTATACGTTAGAAGCAAGAACTTTCCCTTTACCCTCAGGATAGTGCGTTCTGTGAGAACCATATCCTCCAACTAATACTTTTAGTATTCACTTGTAAATTGAAGTTGACTGAAATTATGTTGAAGCCATGGTCGTTATGCCAGTTCCAAAAGGACAACATGGGTTTCCTGGACAGTATAGGAAAATACCTTTCTAACCTGATCCATTTTGAACAGAGAAGATCGATTAAAATACTAGGGAGATCCATAAAATAGTTCAGTAAACCTGTTTTTAAAAACACCTGGCTGTGCAGATGCTAGGTGTCCCGCATTCTTTTGTGTTTGCTGTTGCCAACCTTGACTCTGTTTTCTTTTTTGAGAGGTGCCCCAGGTTGGTAGATGAGAAGCATACCTTAAACAAAGCTAATTTAGATATCAGCAAAGCCCATGGCAGATCCTGTAATGATAACCTTGTTGATAACGTCGTGAAATGCAGGCTCTGTTATGTTATTGTTAAGGGAGTTTAAGGCTATCTAAACAAGGCTTGGAAAGTTGTGATCAGCGGCATGATGTTGGCTGGTAGGGTGCTTGCTTGTCCAGTGCTTTAAGATTATCCTTGCCTGCATCCCCCATGTAGATTCTCTTCAAGTCTTCATATAGCCTCACAGATCTGAGCTATGAATCCTGCTCTAGGGCAGAGGAAAACCATCCCTTGGAATATCAGTAGGTGTTATGTGAAAAAAGACTGCAGTGGCCCGATTATGTAGGGACTGTTGGATTCTAAAGGAAAGGGGTTTCTGCTCTGCAGAGCTGCCCAGGAGTGTTAGCACGCAGGTTTACACTGTGAAACTTCATGAGCGCAGCCAGCGATCTTGCTTCCCACAGAAGTCCAAAGATGGATTTTTGGAGCAGGGTCTGCATGGGGATTCCCCTGCTGGCTCAGGGAAGATAGGCCTGTTGCCCAGGACCTGGGGGGAGAGAGTGGGCTGTAGGTGTGGATGTGGGGAGGGATGAGCCCACAGAGGTTAATCGTGGGGAGGCAAAGGGGACTTCCAGGTATTTGGATGTAGGGTGAGGCATTTTACCAACACAGGGAATGTAGGTTCAGAGACAGGGTTGAGGGAGAGGGGTGATGCACCGAAGGTGTTCTGTTTTGAACATAAATAGATGTGTAACTCGTGGTGTTTAATGAATTTGGAGCCAAAACATCGCACCTTCCGTATACATCCATGCAAGCTTGATGTGGGGAAGACAGGGTATTTCTAGGTAGAAGCTAGAAGCACATAATATGTGCTGGTGTTTTTCAACCTGTGGCTGTGACGAAATGGGTTTTTAGTAAAGTAGAAAATGCTAGTAGTAGCCATTTCAGTCCCGTTTCCCTATGTAGTTGTCCGCCCCCCCCCCCCCCAACTTTTACTTGGCTTTTATCAAGATTACATTTTTTTTTTTTTGGCTGGAGTTACCAGATAACGACCTCAGCCACTGTGATTCATTTTCCAGTGTTTTGTGGTTGATTTCTGATTAGGAATTGATAAGATAATGGTCTTGACCTAAAAAGTAGACTGCATCATTGGTAGGCTTCAGTGGTCACAAATTATTGAGTATTAATTATATTATAATAGTTCAAAGTTTTAATTTGCACTATGCTATCAGCTTAGGATGCAGTGGTGAAATTTATCAAGTTTCTGCCTTCTGAGACCTTAAATTCTAGTGAAGAATACACAGAAATTAGAGGTAATTATGACATGCAAACAATTCTAGTGTTAAATTTCCTTGCAGGGCCTTGTGGTAGTTATTGCCAATTTATGTGGTAGAGTCATCATTATCTTTTCTGTGTTAATATAAGTTCTGTAGCAGAAAGATGTCCTAGTCTCATTTCAGTGAGGGAAGGTAGGAGGGGGTGGTACCAGGGGCAGAGGTGGGGGTCAGGGATGAGAGGCCGGAAATAATATTTGTGTGCAGAAGTGCAGAAACGGCATCTTTAAGATCAGGACCTTTATCTGGGTCATAGCCTGTTTAAACAACCAAAGGATTTGGAAAACTGTGTAATGATTTTAGGAGGTTTATATATTAAAATGTACAAATACAATTTTTACTGAGAATAAGTTATTTTTCTCTACCGTTGTGGTTCTCAGTGGGGTGGAGGGTTATTTGAACCCCCCCCCCCCCAAACTTTTGGCAATGTCTGGAGACATTTTTGATTGTCACAACTGTGGCCAGGGACCACTACTGGCATCTAGTGGGGGTGGGTAGGGATGTGCCGAACATCTCACAGTGCACAGGACAGGCCTCCACATAAAGAATTATCAGGCCCCAAATGGAAGTAGTGCCAAGGTTGTTGTGACCTTGGTATAGAGAGAGACATGGGGTCAGACTCCAGTTCTGCCACTTAGCAGTGTACCCGTGCCTCAGTTTCCCCACTTGTATCATTTGGGTAATACTTTTTTTATCAGTTGTTAACCAGTTTTCAATAAGGTTGTTAATAAGGCTGAATAAGTTAATGTGTGTGAAAGGCTTACAATATTGCACTGAATTATATAATGCAAGAATTACATAAATATACCTTATTATAATTATTCTGTCACGAAATATAGAGAGAGAGCCAATTTGCGTACAGTAATCCTGTGGGCTCCCGTAGATGGGGACTGTGCCTGCTTTGCTTGTAACTGTAGATTCAGTGACTGGTTGTAGGCCCAGGATGTAGCCCACACTTAGTAAATATTTGTTGAATGAATGAACACATACGTTGTTGGGACCCATCTCGAACTTCCTCCATTTGCTGTGGAGAGTGAAATTGTCTTGTCTGCTGGGAGTCTTTCAGCAGAGGTGACACTGGATCAGGGCATATGTCAAAGCCCTCTCCGGTCCTGACGCTCGGAGAAGAGTCTGGCATTCCTGACGCCGCCTCTTTGTGCTGTGGGCCATCTTGGTTAACCAGGAAATATGCATCTCCGCTTTTTAGGATTGGCATTAAGTGGTCTGGATCACTAATACATTTTAAGAAAATCTTGTTTAAAAAAAAATTCTTAAATTGTTTTTCCTGTGGTAATTCACTCGATAACTTTATATTGGGAAATGGTAATATGAATTGCATTTCCTTATTGTTTTTAATAAAGCTATGATCTGGGAAACAGCTTCTCTGTACCTCGAAAGATTCCAAAGGCTTTGAGAAGATTAAGTTATTTTTTTTAAGATTTTATTTATTTATTTTCGGGGTGGAGGAGGGAGGGAGAAGTAAAGGGAGAGAAACATCAGTGTGTGGTTGCCTCTTACACACCCCCAATCGGGGACCTGGCCCATAACCCAGGCATGTGTCCTGAATGGGAATCGAACCGGTGACCCTTTGGTTCAGAGACTGGCAGTCAGTCCACTGAGTCATACCAGCCAGAGTGAAAAGATTAAGTTTTAAACCTGCCTTGCCACTTACTGTATCTTTGACCTTGGGCAAGTCGCCTGCCTCCCTGAGTCCTCAGTTTCCTCTTTGTTTTCTTCTGATACCGGGGATTACTGTGCCTAGTACATAAATTAACATTTGTAAATATTCTATGCAAACTCTAAAGGCTATATTGTAGAAATGTTATTTTTGTTTGGATGCAATGTAGTTTTACATGATCGCTTATTATAGTCTGGCAGCTGGACAAGTTATAGTCAGTGCTCTGTTGTGTCAGCACCTAGACAGGTAACAACTTTAATACAACTAGAAGTCTTGCTTATAATAAGCAGAATATGTACTTACAGCCTAGTACAGCGGTTTTCAACCTTTTCATCTCATGGCGCACACAAACTAATTACTGAAAGTTTGCAGCACACCAAAAATACATTTTTGGCCAATCTGACCCCAAAAGTAGGTATACTTTTGATTCATTCACACCAGACAGCTATTGCTGTGTTGGCTATTATCATTTTTTTAAATGTGACAGCCTCGGGGAAAAGAGGTCCTTGCCCCTGACTAACCAACCAGTCAGGTTATTACCTGTTTTAAATATTCTTGCGACACAGCGGTTGAAAATCGGTGGCGTAGTAAATGGAATTTTAGAATATCTTTTACAGTAATATTGTTAAAAATGACTCTAATTGAACTTTTTAATATGAATTTATTTGTTAGCTATGGAGACCAAAGGCTACCACAGTGTCCCCGACGGTCTAGATATGGAAAGACGGTGGGGCCAAGTTTCTCAGGCTGTGGACCGTTCTTCCCTGGGACCCACAGAGAGGACCGATGAGACTAACTACATGGAGGTTGTCAATGTAAGCTGTGTTTCCGGTGCTATTCCAAACAACAGTACTCAAGGAAGCAGCAAAGAAAAACACGAACTACTCCCTTGCCTTCAGCAAGATAACAATCGGTCTGGGATTTTAACATCCGATGTCAAAACCGAGCTGGAGTCCAAGGAGCTCTCCGCGACTGTCGCCGAGTCCATGGGTTTGTACATGGACTCCATCAGAGAGGCCGACTACCCCTACGATCAGCAGAACCAACAAGGAAGCCTGAGTCCAGCGAAGATTTATCAGAACGTTGAACAGCTGGTAAAATTCTACAAAGAAAACGGCCATTGTCCTTCCGCGCTAGGTATGAGCAGGCCCTTGAGATCATTTATGGCTGACTCGGGGAGCTCTGTAAATGGGGGGGTCATGCGCACCATAGTTAAAAGCCCTATCGTGTGTCACGAGAAGAGCTCATCCGTGTGCAGCCCGCTGAACCTGACGTCCTCCGTGTGCAGCCCTGCTGGAATTAGCTCTGTGTCCTCCACCTCGGCCAGCTTTGGCAGTTTCACAGTGCACAGCCCTGTCACCCAGGGGACTCCCTTGACGTGCTCCCCAAATATTGAGAGCCGAGGTTCCAGGTCACACAGCCCAGCACATGCCAGCAATGTGGGCTCCCCTCTCTCAAGTCCATTAAGCAGCATGAAATCCCCAATTTCCAGCCCTCCAAGCCACTGCAGTGTAAAATCTCCAGTCTCCAGTCCCAACGTGACTCTGCGATCCGCCGTGCCCAGCCCGGCAAATATCAACAACTCAAGGTGCTCTGTTTCCAGCCCTTCCAACACGAATAACAGATCCACACTTTCCAGCCCCACTGCTAGCACTGTGGGATCCATCTGTAGCCCCGTAAACAGCGCCTTCAGCTACGCTGCTTCTGGCACCCCCGTGGGATCCAGCGTGGCCCGAGACGTGGCTCCCAGCCCAGACACACACGAGAAAGGTGCTCATGAGGCCCCCTTTCCCAAGACTGAGGAAGTGGAGAATGCCATCTCCAACGGTGTCACTGGCCAGCTTAACATCGTCCAGTATATAAAACCAGAGCCAGATGGAGTTTTTAGCAGCTCCTGTCTAAAAGGAAACAGCAAAATAAATTCCGATTCCCCATTCTCAGTACCAATCAAACAAGAAGCAACCAAGCATTCGTGTTCAGGCACCTCTTTCAAAGGGACTCCGACAGTAAACCCGTTTCCACTGATGGACAGCTCATATTTTTCCTTTATGGATGATAAAGACTATTATTCTCTATCAGGAATTTTAGGACCACCTGTACCCGGCTTTGATGGTAGCTGTGAAGGCAGTGGCTTCCCAATGGGGATTAAACAAGAACCAGAGGATGGGGGCTATTTTCCTGAGGCCAGCATCCCTTCATCTGCCATCGTTGGTGTGAATTCGGGTGGACAGTCCTTTCACTACAGGATTGGTGCTCAAGGTACAATATCTTTGTCACGAGCGGCGAGAGACCAGTCTTTCCAACACCTGAGCTCCTTTCCTCCTGTCAATGCACTGGTGGAGTCGTGGAAGTCACACAGTGACCTGTCGTCGAGAAGAGGCGATGGGTATCCAGTCCTAGAGTACATTCCAGAAAACGTATCAAGGTAAGCTGGCTCTTCCTCCATCTTTGAAAACTGTGGCTTTATAAATTGCGGAAGGTTGGCGTGAAATTTACAGCTGACAAATTAAACCCATGTTGGGTTACTGTTTTATTTGTATTTTCAGGGCGGTCACTTAATGTTTACCCCCACGGCTTATTGGTATAATGTCGCTACTTTTTTTTTAAATAGAGAAACAGAAAGTCCTTAAAACCTCTTAGAAAACATTTACGTTGGTTTTGAAGGAGTCTGTAGAGGTGTTTGCCCCGGCCCCACGCGTCAGCTGTAGGTGTTCAGAAAATGTTTGTTCTCTGCTGCCTGCGACCCTGTTTACTTTAGCCGAATAGTGCCAGGTCTTTTTTCCCCAGCTGTGTACTGGTTCACTAAAATTCCTTTAAATTAGCTTCTTTGTGGTTTTAGTCTTTTTCCCCCCTTTTTAAAAGCTTTCTTTGTTAATCTCTTCATTGGCTGTGAAAAGTGAAATTGAACCCCAAATCTGTTACCCACTAGCTCCCCACTCTGTCCTTTTCTTGTTAGGTTAATTGTGTGTAAGTTGTGGTTTTTGATTCAAATAAATCATTTCCTTAACCGTTGAGGGCTTTTAAAGGCTGAGCAGAGCTACAATTACTCAGTGGACAGTCTTGCTTTCTTACTTACATGGGAAGTGAGTTATGTCACTGCAGTTTTGAACTGGTGTATTTATAACCTTTAAGATCTGCAAGAAGACATACGTAACTTACTGTAAAATATCTCTTGGCTTTCCCCAGTGCAGATAGCATACTGTATATGTTTAGAAAAAACAAGGAAGAGGTTGTAGATAAGACTACAGGGCGGTTCTAAGTTATATAATGAATACTTGTGTTGGACTTTGCTCCAGTACTATTTTTATTACATGGTTATAATGTTTACTTTATTGGGCATATAAAGGATAGATTTCTTAGATATAGTTCATTCCTTTAGCACCCAAGAATATATGGATATTTTTCTTAAAACTTTATTTTGTGGGTAATATGTCCAGGCTCTAGGGCAGGGGTGTCAAACTCATTTTCACCGGGGGCCACATCAGGCTCACGGTTGCCTTCAGAGGGTCAAATGTGATTTTAGGACTGTGTCAATGTAACTACTCCTTAATGAGGGGCAAGGAGCTCTATATTCTGCCCTTTGAAGGCAACCACAAGACTGATGTGGCCCCTGGTGAAAATGAGTTTGACACCCCTGCTCTAGGGTTTATGTGTATTCCTGTATCTTTCTCCTTCTATTTTTTTTCCAAACCAAGAACAAGAACTTTAATTTGTGCCTTCTGTTCCTTGTCATTGACTCCAACCTGACTCCTCTTGCTTATATGGAAGCAAACATTCCCTAGAAGAGATGTTCTTCCAGCTCTCAACAGCGTGAGCTACTCTCCATCTTATTTTAGCGCTGCCTCTGTCTCAGATTCTAAACTCTAATGCGAGTCAGGAGGTGGCTTTCATCAGAACCAAATTCAGCGTGCGTTTTCCCGTTACTGCTGTTTCACACTCAGAAGGAAATCTGTACGTAATGCCGATATTTTGGTGAGGGGTGTTGTCTTCATTGAGTTGGTGGGCAGGGAGGGGGGGTAGCCTGGTAGCCGAGAGCATGGCTGCCCTGGGGGGAGTCCCAGCCGCGCCATTTGACCGTGCACATCCCGTGACCTCTCCGGGCTGCAGTGTTCCCGGGGTGGTGTGAGGGGGGCGCTAAACAGTGCCCACCTCGAAGGCAGTGAAGACAGTTGGGTTAACTTATGAGAAGCACTTTGAATATGACCTGGTATGGACTATACATTATACACATGTTAGCCATGACTGTTAAATCGTGTTTTCACAATCTTTAGTTTCCATTTCTTTCATTTTCTTTTCCTCATATGAAATTTCACAAAATAATATGAAAGATTATATTTATTTATTTTAGGGAGAGGGGTTAGAAAGATGCCCCCAGCGAGATGCTCTCGCATGCCCCCAACCAGGGACCTGGCCCACAACCCGGGCATGTGCCCTGACGGGATTTGAACTGGTGCCCGTAATGGCTTGCAGGATAACGCTCAACCCACTGAGCCACACCAGACAGGGCAAGACAAAATAATTTTAAAGAAGTATTATGTACATAGTTAAAAGAAATACTTGTTGATAATTCTTATGATTAAGTTCTACTTTGATTTAAAAAAAAAACTATGATTAGGCCCTGGCATGACTCAGTGGATTGAGCACCAGCCTTCAAAAAAGGGTCGCCAGTTCAATTCCAAGTCAGGGCACATGCCTGGGTTGTGGGCCAGGTCTCCAGTAGGGCATGCATGAGAGAAGCAACCACAGATTGATGTTTCTCTCCCTCTCTTTCTCCCTCTCTTCCCCTCTCTCTATAAATAAAAAAAAATTTTTAAAAATTAAAAAATTATGATTAGGCACCATATATTTGCTACTACATTTCTGTTTACAATTTTTAATTTCAAAGGCCATTGACTCATGCAGCACCTCCTGATGGTCCAGCCTTAAACATAATAATGTGAATCAGTGACCTTGAGCTTACCCTGTATTTGTGGGCACGGCAGGTATCATCTGGTGTCTCTGCTTGCGTATCCAAAATTCTCTTTATGTGTGTTAACAGTCAGAGGGGATTCATTTTGTTTACATAGATGCTGGTATTGTACTAGTCAACATATGTTCATATCTGTAGATACAATTCATCTAAACCAAAGCTCTTCCCCAAAACCGAGAATTGCTGGGCTGTGCTGTTCTATACACCCATTGGTAGTCAACGGAGAAGAAAGATATTGCTTTATTTGCATTAGCCTTACTGACTGTTGGGCCGAGGAAGGAGTGCCCTACTCAAATAAAAATGATTCTCATCTAGATTAAATTTTCAAGCTGATAAAAGTGAGTAATGGCTGGGAAGTGTGTGGCGCCGCTGTTTCAGGCTCGGGCATTCTGGGAGAGTGGCGATGAGAGTCATCTGTTAATAATTTCCAGTGTGTGGACTGTCCAAGCGCCACACTGTAAAGTGAATTATGACGGAAGCTGGATGTAAAGGTCTCAGGTTGGACACTGGACCTCGCTGTGTCATGGGGATTGGCGTTCCCCGTCAGTTTGGACACAGACCAAGCTGTAACCCTGAGTGAGTCACCGCTTCTTGCCGCTCTTTATTTTAAAGAGAACAAGATGCTTCTAAGCATCGGAATCCCTTCACATATTTGCTGATGTGGTTTCACATATTTGCTAATGTGGTTTCAAGTATATTTTAATCACAAGTCTAGCTCTGTGGTTTCCAGGGTGGTCAGGATAGAAAAATCACTTACCATTTAAAAGTAAAAGCAAGTAGGCGTGACCTATCATTTTCCTTTGAAAAGCATAGTTTTTAAAATCAGTTCTTTCCTTTTGCAAAATTTGACACTTACTATGAATTTCTTGATCTATTAATTCACCCCATCCCTTTTGGAAGCAGGGTTTTCTCTGTGGACATAACCTTGGGCATCTGTGCTGCAGCTGGCAGGCACGTGGCAGCATCACAGCACAGCGCTCGCTGAGTGGACTGAGGCTTTTGCATATGGAGTTCACTGTTTCAAAGGGCAGATCCTGACAGGTTTCAAGATAAGCCATTAGGGTGTTTATCTTAATATATGCTGCATTTTTTTCATGATGGAATGAAACAATTTAGTAAGTCATCTACAGTTTTTTTTTTCCCCAATTGTCCCTAGAGTTTTTTGAAACTGATTTTCTATAATAAACCAAAACCTTCAGAATTCAGGGCATTTGTTACAGAGTATGCCCTGTGTCTAGTAAACTTTCTGAGTAAACCCTTGAGATGTAAACATCTCTTTGTAATGCAAAGGATGAAACAATGGTGGATTTGGGGATGGGGGGGATTGATTGGTTATTAGTGCTTACTAAATAAATCCATTACAGGATTGCTCAGTCATTTGGATTTGAAAACATGGAACTCTCTATTTTTATTTGTCTTATAATATTTTGATTCCTCCAGGTTAGTATTCTGAATATTTTGGGGAATGATTTTTCAAATGAGCGTTGCTTCTCGTGGTTCAGTCACCTTTATTCATCTACGGAATTTCTGGTGGTAATTTTATTTTAGAAACAACTTAGTCATTTTTAATCTACAAATCACTGTTATAGTGAGCTTTTATGCATTAGCTTTTAACACCACAAGTATCCTCGATGTATATGTTAGTACGTCCACCTTTTATCATCTAAAGTACTAGAACCTTTTCAACTGTTCACTTCACACCTCAAAGTGGATTCAAGTCAAGGTTTCTGTTAAATTAGCTCAGCAGTGTTCAACTTAAGGCAGTTTCCATACCAGTGCAATGCTAAAGCGGGACCTGGAGATCTATTGTTTATTGGTTTAATACCTTTTGCAAAACCGAAATTCTGGAAGTGTTTGACCTTTTCCACCCATGTTATATCTGACAAGGGTGTCCCACCTGCGGCCCTCATGGAGCCCCGGATGCCTATGAATGCGGCCCAACACAAAATGGTCAATTTACCTAAAACGTTATTTATTTACTTATTTTTTGCTCATCAGTTTTTGTCAGTGTTTGCAAATTTAATCTGTGGCCAAAGACAACTCTTTTTCCTCCAGTGTGGCCCAGACATGCCAAAAGGCTGGACACCCCTGGTAGCAGATGTTATATTGATCCCCGTAATTTAGGAGTAACACTTCACTTTCCCTAATGCTTTAATGTCATTAATTTTTTTTCTCTGAAATAATACTTTTTCCCCCCAGGCTTTCAACTGTTGCTTTAGGCTCATATCACTCATTTACTGATAAAATTTAAGCTTTGCTGCTAAGTAATTTGTTTTATTTACTAAATTCAAATCAAGAGGAAAATACTGGCTTCTTGATTATGTTTAACTATAGCCGCTAAATTGTATATTTTTGTGGACCGCTTTCCAAAATTTATTACTGAAGTCCAGGAAATATAAGCATGTTAAATAGATAATGTGGTTCATCTTAAATTTTAGAATTTCTACTTTTACACT